CTCTCTCTGCGTCTCTTTGTGTCTCTCCGTCTCTCTCCGTGTCTCTCTGCCTCTGTCTGTGTCTCTTTGTGTTTCTCCATCTCTCTCTGTCTCTTTGTGTCTCTCCGTCTCTCTCCGTGTCTCCCTGCGTCTCCCTGCCCAGTGGGTGTGTCAGTTCTGCACCTATCTGAACTACTCTCCTGCTACGGTGTGTGAGATGTGTGACCTGGCTCGTCCGGAGCCCGCCCCACTGCCCGCGAAGCTCCGTCCTCCCTCTCCGGTCAGACGGGTCCCCGCGCTGACGATCAAACCCAAAGAGCCCGCCCCCGAAGACCTGGACTCCTGGAGGCAGAGGCTGATGAAGGAGGAGGGACTGAAGCTCATTCAGCTGATCAGAGCAAGTCAACTTCATCACCTGTCAATCAACCTCGGATCTAGAATACAAGTAATGTCTGCATTCTACTGTGTCTGTCCTTTTCTGTCTGTGTTAGGATGGGGAGAAGAAAGGAGTGAGTCCAGAGGAGGTGTACACAAGCAGGACAGTAGCAGGGGACAGCAGCATCCTGCCGTGCAAGTGGTTAAAGACGGAGCTTCCTCTGCTGTTAGACCTGATCAGGACGTCGGTGGCAACCTCTCCCCTTCAGTCTGTCTGTGACCAGAACACAGCAGAGCGCACAGTCAGTATGATTCTCTCTGTACAATTGAAGGCTTTATGTTCCTCTGTTAGCAATTGACCTTCCTCTAACACAGAGCAGGTCGTGTGAAGCTCCTGCCGAGGATGCCGGGAAAGAGGCGGAACCTGTGAATGTGGTCCAGCTGTCCAGAGCGGAGGCCAAGCAGGCCTGGCTGACAGCAGGGGGCGACACCGAGCGAGCTGCCAGTCAAGCTCTGAGAGACAGACTAGCCAAGGTCTCCCCGACAATTACAGTTTCACGACAACATTCGGTCGGTCTCCCTTTACTTCGAGAGATGGTGTGATGTTTTTATTCCGTACCGCTCAGGTGAAGGAGCTGTGTGCGCTGGGCTTCAGCGACGAGGCTCGCTGCCATGAGGTCTTGAGGCAGAGCGGCGGTGAGGTGAGAGGGGCTCTGGCCCTGCTGCAGCGACCACTCCTGGAGCCCTTCCATAAGCACATTTGGAGTGACAAGCCCGAGCCTCCCGTGGACATCCATCACCCTGACAAACAGGTGCAGGCATATTCATCAGGCCTGGGTCCAGTCCCGTTAATCTTCTGTACTCCAAACCCTCTCGGCTGGATTGAAAAGCATGATTGCCAAAATGACACCTTTTTTCCAAGCAAGAAGCTGTGAAAACCGACATTATTGTCAGATTTCCATCTTTCCGATGGTACACATCATGTATGATGATCGCTTGCTTCAGAAAAGGCAGCCAAAATCAAAGCTTAAAATTGTGATATTTCATCGAAAACATTTTATTCTACTGTCTCATTTAAAATCTGGCCTTAAGTAAATCGTTAACTCAAACCAGATATTAATTCTGCACTCCTCAGTGCGACTAGGAAGCCATGATTGAGTCGGCTAAGACCTACAGTCCCATGACAAAAGCTCTGTAAAGCTTGAACTGCTGGCTGCTGAACACATTGTGTGTTGAGGAGCTGACAGGAGAGGCTGTTAGGAGAGGAACATGTTGATGGGAATGGAGGCTCTATGTGCTATGTACATTGAACTAACATTAGTAACACTTGTGGGGGAATAGATTCCATTGATTTCCCATTTTTTAAGAAATTCAACTTGCGTTTTTTCTTTTTTATGATGTATGCTAATATAACAGCCTTAATCTGCACAAACAACATTTCTGAGTTCTCTCTGCTTCTAGACATGATTGTGCTGTTTCCATAGAGGTGCAGGACTTATATTCTGCAGGCAAATATAATATTTGCAATTGCAATTCAAGGCCACAGAGAGTGAAATGTGAAAAAAAGCTGATAACGCATTACAATTTCTAAAAATGACTAGACCTATGTTATATATTTTGTTGAGTTGTGTACTTACACTATCCCAAATTCCATTCCCCAAACCGCTTATCCTATTCAGGGTCGTGGGGCGCTGGAGCCGATCCCAGCTGACATTGGGCGAAGGCAGGGTACCCTGGACAGGTCTCCAGTTGATCTCAGGGCACATGTAGAGACAGACAAACATGCACGCTCACATTCACACATACGGGCAATTTCGAGTCTCCAAATAACCTAAGCTGCATGTTTTTGGACTGTGAGAGGAAGCCGGAGAACCCGGAGGGAACCCACGCTGCCACGGGGAGAACGTGCAAACTCCTACCCAAATGTTTCCAACAATCTTCAAACCCAGAGAAATATGTCATCTTTACTTTAAAAGGCCATTTTGCTAACATTAGCATTAGCAAGTGATAATGTTTGCAGGTTTCGGAGCACTCGTTCATCGAATGCTTCCCTTAACATGAGTATAATACAGGACAAGACTTGAAAACACTGTGGATAGATTATTTTTGATGACTTTAAAATACTAACTCAGAGGATTTGCATTGATTTGAGGATTTAACATAATTAATAGGTGTTGAAATCAGACTCAAGCTCCGGATGATAAAATGAAATCAAGGTAACGGTACGTTTCACTTGGTGGCCAGTCCATGGTGTCAAATCCCCTTTGAGCAGGCGCCAGAGTAGTGGCTGCCTGCCAGACTTAAGCCACATTTCTACAATACACTTTTTAGACCGTGGTCATTTTTATGCCTCCAAGCCGGCAAAAGTCGTGGCCAGTGACTTTTTGTCGAGCGACGCAGTGCGACGCTAACTTCCGGGATGGCCTGCAAAAAAATGTCTTTCCTGCAGCGGTCCTGTCTATCTATCTGCCTGTAAGTATGTGTGTGTCCTACGTGTGTAGGCTTGGGTATTGCTGGGGACCCAAGGACTGGCAGTGTCAAAGTTGGTGCAATTTGACAAAATATTAGCAAGCTAAACATGCGTCTTGTGCTCTGTGCAGCAGCGGGGGCGGGTCTTCGGGGCTCTGCGGACAAATCAGTCAGGCGGCGGGTCATCGACCACAGTTGACTTTTGCTGCTGGATGCATATACTACCATAACAACCTTACTCTTTTTCTGCAATCGTGCCACAAGGAGGGAAAGTATTGTCTATTGAAGTCCTTGTTAATGCCAAAGGTGTCACTGTAGAGCTATGTTTGTATGAAAGTACAACACGCTGCAGAGGAGAAAGCAAGTTAGCCATGCTTTATCATGATTATTCAGTCATCCACCTGAAAGTCCCAGTGAAACGGAAGTCAGAGCGTCCTGAGCTCCAGTGCTCACAGTGAAATGGAATATTTGAGTGTTCTAGAGGCATTTAAATCAAATCCTGTGCATTTGATTGGGCCGCTGAAAAGTGGGCGGGCTTAGAGTTTAGAGCGATAAGGAGATGCAGATGAACACCGCCTCCCTCCATGCCGACCGAGCTCGCCGCTGACCTGCCAGCAAAACTCCACTGGTCAGGAAAATGCAGGGAAAATGTATTTATTAAACATTAATGTTGCACTGTGTCTGTGACATGGGTGAAACTGTTCACTAACACGGTCAACCCTAACAACTTTATGATAATATGTCAATGTTGTGTTCTCAGCATCTTCTGCTGCCCCAAGTGGTCATGGCTGGGATAGCTGATTGGATTTGTGAAGTCTGGCCTCGCTGTAGTACCCTACATAATTCCACTACGTGTCTTCCAGCGCATATGTCGGAGGTTACTCGCGGTGTACGATCTCCCCAGCTGGGGTCGCTGTGAGCTGGCACTGTCGCTGCTCCTGGAGCACAGCGCCCCCTACTCACTGGAGGACGTGGTGCAGGCTGTGCGAGAGTCCCACGACAGGGAGTTCATCAAGCGAGTGCTGGCTAAAGACTGTCCCATCTGCCTCTCCATCTTCCCCCACAGCAAGGTACTGAGACGGCAACAAAAAAAATCTTTGTATGAGTTCTGAAGTCATGCCCTACCCCCCCTCTCTCTTTCAGATGCAGTCTCTGACGTCGTGTCAGTGCTCCGTGTGCTGTGATTGCTTCCAGCAGCACTTCACCATCGCTGTTCGGGACAAACACATCAGAGACATGGTGTGTCCGGTTTGCTGGGAACCTGACATCAATGACCCTGAACACCTCAACAGCTACTTCTCCACCCTGGACATCCAGGTAGGGTGGCAGACCAACCAAGGATTGTATGAGGGAGGATAAGATACAGACTACTGGTGCCTGGTCACGCCAGAAAGTGGCACGACAAAATTCTGTTTTCTTGTGTGCTATTTGCACATGTGATTTTTTGCTCACGTGCAAACATTTGGTGAAAAATCTTCCCCATTCCATGTAAATGAGCCTCCTTGCAAAAACAGTCCAATTCACAAAGATCAGCATTAATAGCCACATGCAGTCAGTGAAATTATCAGCTTCAGAAAGTAACATTTATAGCAGCATTTATACTGACAGAAAAATATATTAAATCCCACATCAATGTTCTCTCATTCACGTTTAAAGTCCTTGCCTGACGTTTGGAGGAATGCCTCTGCTCCTCGTCGGTCAGGACTTGTAGCTCTCCATCTGCAAATGTCATTTTTCTTTTTCTCTCTCTATTGTTCTGCCTGCATTCTTGGCGCAAATGCAACATTCTTATTTTGCCACATGAATAATTGCACTCAGCTGCAAACCCTTATGTTTGTGCTGTGATATTATTAACCCTCATGTCTTTAGTGAATCAGACATTGAGACGGGGCAGATAGTGGTTGCAAGTAATGCCCAATTCCTGTTTCTATCACTGGCCGCAATTCCACTCGTGATTAGTTGTCGTTATTTGATTTTTTTTCAGGAGCAGCAAATGCTTTGCACAGTACATCAAACTGTTTTATTCCTACATATAGATAAGGAAGAAACACAAGAGATTTAAAAAAGCAGAATAGTTCAAAATAGAAGCAGCAGTTGGCGAGATATCCTCACTGTCATTCCCACGGTTTAGAGCTGGGCTATTCAATTAAAGTTCTGCCAGGTCATGTTGGAGAGAATGCCCTCATGCAAAGGTCGGGAACATCACAATAATGTCTAACTTGCGCTATGATTTAGTCCCATATTAAAGTAGCCAACAGTTGTATTAACGTCTGTATGTAGTCAACAACTTCCTTTCAAATCAAATAAAGAAAGTTCAATTAAATCATATCTCATACAATATTCATTGTCAGATTTCAAGTTCAACTGGATGAATTATAAATAATACATACTTTAATAATAAATAAATGCTTTTCTCTCACTTCAAGTAAAATAAGGGCTGGGTTAAAGAATAAATTACACAACAGAAAGCTTTTCAAAAATGTGCTTCATTTTAGAAACATTTATTTCAGCTTTAAATTCAGTTCATTCAGGTGTGAAGTGATGTCAACCAAGAAACCCACATTATATTTTTCTCATCTTCTAAAAAGAGAAATGTTTGTGCATGGACTTTATCTGTGGTTATTAAACCACTTGTTTCAGCTCTATTCTCTCTGTTAACATCATTGTTGGGCAGTGAATTAATGCGTTAGGATTCTGATCATTTAGGTTTATTTTCTGTGACTTCATTCAGATGTGAGTGGGTACGTTTGTTCAAAAGAGTTGTGCTTTGTCTCGTAGTGTCGCTTCATATTACTGCTTTTATTACTCGTCACGGCCTCTGAACATATGAGACACACTGGTTATGAACTGCCAATGGGAATAATGAACCTATAAGAGTCTGTTCATTAATGGTTAAAGACTCTGGTCTCTCTGACCACTTTTCTCTTTTTGGTGAACGTCATGTGAAATAACTTCACTGACTCACGTATTATTCTCCAACTACTCAATCTCTCTCCCTGTCTCCACCGTGTGTGTAAATCTCACTTGAGTCGGGATGTTTATCAGGAGAAAAAGTCTTCAATAGTACAGAGTGAGTCGTATAATACCGAATACTGAAACAAGAAACATTGAGGAAGGAAGTCTGTCTTTAAAGTATTTAATGTCTGGCCAGAGAAGGCTTTCATTGTATTGCAGACTAGCGCACACCTAGCATCATTGTGTGAGTAACCTAAAAAACAAATCTCCAGCAATTGCTGCAGCATTTCCTGTTCAAGAGAATTTAATTTAAAAATTTTTATACTATATTGATCCCTTTAAGGGGGAAATTTGTCTCTGCATTTGACCCATCCCTGTATATGGGGAGCAGTGGGCTGCCAATGACAGGCGCCCTGGGTTCAGTGTATTGCTCAGGTACACTTTGACATGTGACCCCCGTCCCAGTCGAGGATTGAACCATTGACCTTCCGGTTGCCAGACAACCCTCTTAACCCAGTGAGCCAAGGTCACCCCTAACAACACGTTATGCATTCTGAAGTCAGTGCATTGAGTCTGAGTGAGCTGCCAGTCAGACATGTCCTTCACACCATTCCTGGGCCTCGTACCAGAACACATGTGGAATCTCTCCCTTTAATTAACTCTGATTGTGTGGGAGACAGAGAAACAGAGACAGCAGCAGTATTTGCTCACTATACCATTATACATAACTTCTCCACTTCTCTAAACCATACTTCCTTTAACCTTTCATCGAATCCACCTAACACATGTGAAGTAAATCAGCCTGCATGTGACATTCTGAACATTTTTACCTCTAATAGTTAACGTGACTTGTGGTAACTTTCTAAAGCCTTCATTTTCATTCGAATACACCTGGTACGTGGGTGTGAGTGATGTTTGTCTAGTTTCTAATGTGTGTATTAAATGTACAAATTTGTCATCTAAAGAATCTAAAGTTAACTCACCCTCTGTGTTACAACACAATCATATCTCACATATATAGTTTTGTTAGTGAGTAAGGCACATAAACTCACAGTAGAAATGTACTAGCAGAGGGAAAACTCTCCATCACAGAATACACTTATTTGATTGGCTGAGTAGCATCACGTGATGTAATTGGTCGGTGTGTTTCCTGAACCGCTGAACGAAGGCTGGAAACACTGCGCCGGTTAAAATAGAAGCCTTCCGTCAAAATGTAATAATTCTCACTTATCTATTGGTTTTAGGTCCAGGGTCCAGACCGTGCTCCGCCTACTAATGACCCCTGGTTTAGAGCATTAATATAGCAGCAACTATTTTACCTTTATGTTCCATTTGTAACTATGTTAGTACATAACTACGTCGGTACGTAACTGCGTTATTACGTAACTATCTTAATGCATAACTACGTGAATATGTAACTACGTCAGTACATAACCACGTCAGTACGTGACCACGTTACTTACTATGTAACAAACACTTATTACAAGATCATTGTTTGTTACAATGATCTTTTCTAACAAACCCATAACTTTTACTCACAAAACCTGGTGTTGAATGAGGTGAACCCTAACCCTTAAGTTATTTATACGGTGCATACGTAACCACGTCACACACTACGTAACCTTAACATAACCAAGTGGTTTCCTTACCTTAACCTAACCAAGTGGTTTCCTTACCTTAACCTAACCAAGTGGTTTCCTTACCTTAACCTAACCAAGTGGTTTCCTTACCTTAACCTAACCAAGTGGTTTTCTTACCTTAACCTAACCAATTGGTTTTCTTACCTTAACCTAACCAAGTGGTTTTCTTACCTTAACCTAACCAAGTGGTTTCATTTCTATGCTGACTGGGTCCCTGCTACCTCTCAGGGATTGATCTCTAGGTTGTATTGTATTATGTTCTTCAGCTGCGTGAGTGTCTGGAGCCAGAAGTCTATGAACTGTTCCATAAGAAGCTGACAGAGCAGGCTCTAATCAAGGACCCCAAGTTCCTCTGGTGCTGTCATGTAAGTACACACTGAGTCGCTCTTAGATTTGTCAACAAAAAGTCACATTTTTAGACTTTGAAAGCTTCGATAACATTCAAATCTCTATTTTCGTGGCGGTGCTATGACCAGCACAAGCACTGCTCAAACAGATTGGTATTTTATACCTATTATACTATTTCAATATAACATTTCCTAACCAGTAGATGCGTCTGAACTGGCGTCAAAATGTTATGTTTAATGTAGTTAAAGCAGCAATGTCAGTAAATCAGATGACGTGACAAGGTTAAGTGGGACCCGAAGTAGATTCAGTGACACTGTACATGTTTGTTATTTCACCAGTGTGCAATCAGTTTAGTAAAGTGCATATTTATATTATAATAATTAGCTTTTATTGTAAGAATGTTTATCTAACACATTTCCTCTATTGTTTTAAATCACCACAACTCAACTAAATACCGGGAACAATTACCCAGGCATGAACTTAATGACTTAAAAGATGATATTAAGTATATTCTCTATAGTCATTGTTTGCAAATTTAATGTAGTTAATGACAACAGTTAAAATAATGTTTTCTCAAAGCAAGTGTATTCATATTAGATCATTCTTCTTTCTCCTGTGTCCTCTTGTTTCCTCTCCTCTTGTTTCCTCTCCTCTTGTTTCCTCTCCTCAGTGTTCATATGGGTTCATCTATGATGGAGACCAGCTTAAAGTCACCTGTTTTCAGTGTCGTAACAGTTTCTGTGCTCAGTGTAAGAAGCCTGTAAGTATAATGTGTCTCTCTTTCTCTTCTGTCTGTATCTGATATAAAATAATATAAAAGATATCATTAACCAACAAATCGACTGAACTGCCCTGAATATGTTAGTTTTGTTACAATGTTCAACACAGTGGACCAATTTACAACTAACGTAATATTGACTTCTCTTTAAAGCTTTGATTTCACCAGGAGGAGGATAGTTGGTGACCGTGGGAATTGGTGTAAATGCATGTCTCTGTATCGTCTGCAGTGGGAGTCTCAGCATACAGGTCTGTCCTGTGAACAGTACCAGTCCTGGAAGAGAGAGAATGATCCGCAGTATCAGAGACAGGGCCTGGCTGGATACCTCAGAGACAACGGCATCAGTAAGCACACACAACTCTGCAGGAATATTTTTTATCTAGCAGCGGATATGCTGCTCTATTTTAGCAAGGGGTGCACTTTTTAATAGATATGTGATCCATGTAAAACAAAATAGCATGTAGTAGATACTATTATTTACTCTAACCACCTCTCACTGAGTGCCTTGAAAGTTTAAACATTTTTTTATTTTAACAGTTATATTAGGATTATGCTTGAGGTCAGATATACTCCTTGAAAACCGCTGGATGCTTCAGCATAATCTGGTGTTTCATGTTCACTCATATAAACCAGAAATCATTTATTTTTTTATATCTTTTATTAAGTGTAAATAATCAGAGTAACAGAAAGTGATGTTCAAGAAGTGCCGTGTGCCCATGGACTCATTGACTGAGCATCTCAGTGTTCAATCCACATAATCCTGTGCCTTGAAGTCCACAAAATCGGCTTCATCTGTAAGTGTGTTACTATTTACAGTTATATTAACATGTTTATAGTCATATTTATTTGGTTTGTGTTAGTAGCATTTATACTAATGTACTAGCTATTATTAACTACTTACAAAGGCACTTACCTTTTGTATTGTTTGTGCTCTTTTTCAGTTTTACAAAATTGTTACATATTTTCCACCATTAAACCTTGCAAATACAACAACCTGTCTGTTCCTTGGAGGATACGGTGCTGGGAAATATATTGTCAAGCCGGCTGTATAGCTGAAAACTACGTTTTACTAAAACAACTTTTAGTGAGGACAGCACAGTAAAAAGATGACCACCTACCGTGGGACTTTAAGGAGGATTTTCGGATAGACAAGCTACACTGCACTTCATCACCATGGAAACTACTAGGTCAGTAGATGCTCCAGATGAAGCCAAAGTGAAATGCTCAAAAGATCGTGTTGAAACAGTTACGAGCCTGTCTCACCATCGCTCCAGAAAGTCAAGCTCTTCACGCTCATCGACGAGCTCTGGAGCCAGCTTAGAAGCAGCAAGGGCCCGTGCTAAAGCAGAGGTGGCAAAAATCAGACTGACCTTCACAGAAAAGGAGAGTGAACTCAAAATTAAGAAAGCCAAGCTGGAAGCCAGAATTGACTTCATCAACCTACAACGAGAAGCTGAAGTTGCCCATGTAGAAGCTGTAGTGCTGGAGAGAGCAGCTGCAGATATGGATGGCTCGGACCATATTGAAGAACCTGAGTTCTTGCCACTTCAAGAGAGTGCACTGAAAAGAACGCATGACTATGTCACCCACCATGCCCTGCATCATTACCCACAGGCACCTAGAGAGGAAAAGGAAGTTTACCCCTTACGTCCAATTCTCACACCCCAGCACGACAACACTGCGCAGACCCAGGTGCACATCATCAATAGGAGATCGATGTACCAACAAAGGGACACACAGGAGCTTCATACAGATTTACTACAGCAGAGGAATTATGACCATCAGCACAGTGCTCTTCCCACAAAGCCATCACCCTCAGACAACACAAATCGTAACACTACAACAGCTGATCTTGCCAAATTTCTTGCTAAAAATCAGCTAGTGTCCTCAGGATTGACAACGTTTGATGACCTACCCGAACACTACCAAGCTTGGAGAGAGACACAATTGAAAGCCTTGAGCTGTCAGCAAGTGAAGAGATGGATTTGCTGATCAAATGGCTGGGTAAGGATTCAAGTGAGCAGGCACTTAGGATTAGGTCGGTAAATGTCAGGCAACCCTCCCTTGGTCTTAAAACAATTTGAGAGAGATTAAACAAAACATATGGATCTCCAGAAGTACTAGAGAGAGCTCTTTTTAGTAAAATAGAGAACTTCCCCAAGATCCATAACAGAGACAGTAAAAAACTTCAAGAGCTGGCAGACCTACTGATAGAATTGGATATCGCCAAAAGAGATGGATACTTACCAGGACTAGCTTACCTTGACACAGCAAGGGGAGTGCAGCCCATTGTCGAGAAGCTGCCCATATATCTCCAGGACAAGTGGCTGTCTCAAGGATGCAAATACAAAAGAGAACATTGTGTGGCCTTTCACCCTTTCTTCTTTTTTCGAGAATTCGTCTGCAGGGATGCTGAAGACCGAAATGACCCAAGCTTTGACCTTCCCACTCTCGTTCCAACCTCTTACAAGAATGAGAAGTTAAGTCACATGAAACCGGTCTCTGTACATAAAACGAGCATATCATCAGATACAGTGACCAAAACAGAAAATCTTGACAGACTTTGCCCCATGCATAACAAACCCCACCCACTGAAGAGATGCAGAGGGTTCAGGAAAATGATCTTAGATGACAGAAAGCGATTCTTAAAAGAGAACAATATATGCTTTCGCTGCTGTGCTTCTACTACGCACCAGGCAAAATCCTGTGAAACTCCCATCAAATGTACAGAGTGTGACAGCAATAAACACCTCGCTGCTCTTCACCCTGGTCCTGCTCCGCAATATCAGCCAGGTTTTTCCCCTTCTTCAGAGTACGGCGGGGAGAGGGAGGACACAAGGCAGCCAGATATCACATCATGGTGTACCAAAGTATGTGGTGAGGAATTCAAAAGCAAATCCTGTTCAAAGATCTGCATTGTGAATGTGTATCCCAGTGGTCATCGCAACCTACAGAGAAAAATGTATGCCATTTTAGATGACCAGAGCAATGTGTCATTACCTCGATCAGAGTTTTTTGAAATGTTCAACATCGGTGGAGCAGCAGTGGCATACACACTCAAAACCTGTGCAGGGATGGTGGAAACAGCTGGCAGAAAAGCCCATGGATTCACAGTAGAATCTATAGACGGAAAAATAGACATCCCACTACCTACACTAACTGAGTGTAACGAAATCCCAAACAATAGAGCAGAGATCCCGACACCAGAAGCTGCGTACCACCACCATCACCTAAGGCAGATAGCAACTGAAGTCCCACCCCTTGATCTACACGCTGACATCCTGCTGCTATTGGGAAGAGACATTATTAGGGCCCATAAGGTACATAAACAGCACAATGGCCCTCACTATGCACCATATGCACAAAAGCTAGACCTTGGGTGGGTCATCATAGGGGATGTATGCCTAGGAGGCGCTCACAAGACAAACATAGTGGGTGCCTTGAAAACCTGCATCCTTGAAAATGGAAGACCAACTTGCCTGAGAATCAGATACGAGTGAAAGAAATCTACAGTATCGAAAGTAAGTGCAAGAATCCTCTCCTGCACAAACCCACGCAAAGTGCATTGAGGGTATCAAATATGGATAACCTAGGAAAAACGGTTTTCTGTACAACAGAGAATGACAACCAGCTCGCTCACTCTGTTGAGGATCTAGCCTTCCTTCAGATCATGGAACGAGAGTTGACACAAGATGACACAAACAGCTGGGTTGCTCCACTCCCTTTCCGTCACCCACGGAGACGTCTCCCTAACAACAGAGACTATGCTCACAGCCGTCTAATGTCGGTGCGACGGATGTTACAGAAGAAACCTGGAATGAAAGTGCACTTCACTGAGTTCATGCAAAAAATGCTTGACAATGAGCATGCTGAGCTTGCACCACCACTCAAAGAAGGGACGGAATGTTGGTATCTCCCTACCTTTGGAGTTTACCACCCTCAAAAACCAGACAAGATTCGTGTGGTGTTTGATTCCAGTGCACAGTACGATGGAATCTCACTGAATGATGTGTTGCTTTCTGGACCAGACCTTAACAACACCCTCATTGGAGTGCTTCTTAGATTCAGAAGAGAACCGGTTGCAGTGACAGCAGATATACAGCAAATGTTCTACTGTTTTGTGGTGCGCGAAGACTGCAGAGACTTCCTACGGTTCTTGTGGTACCGGGGAAATGATCTCAACAAGGAAGTGGTGGAGTACCGCATGCGAGTTCATGTTTTTGGGAACAGCCCATCACCTGCAGTGGCAATCTTTGGTCTGCGGTGGACAGCAAAACACCAAGAGGAACACTACGGCAGTGATGCGAGGCACTTTGTTGAGAGGGACTTTTACGTCGATGATGGTCTTCGATCATTCGCAACTGAAGCTGAAGCCATCGATGTTATGCGTCGAACACAACAAATGTTGGCTGTGTCAAACATAATGCTGGACAAGATAGCCTCAAATCGAACAGAAGTGATGGATGCATTTCCGGCAGAGGAAAGAGCAAATGATATCAAAGACCTCAACCTCTCCATAGACGACTTGCCTGTCCAAAGGAGCCTTGGAGTCAGCTGGAACATTATGTCTGACACTTTCACTTTCCATGTCCATGAGGGTCAAAAACCATTCACACGCCGAGGCGTACTGTCAACAGTAAACAGTCTGTTTGATCCACTGGGTTTCTTGGCTCCTGTCACTATTGAAGTCAGACTGCTCCTCAGAGAGTTTTCAATCCAAGATACAGAATGGGACACATGTCTTCCTGAGGCCAAAGCTGAAGATTGGAGAAGATGGCATGAATCACTGTCAGCACTAAAAGAGGTACATATCCCACGCACATATGCATCTTTTTCCATTTCCAAAGCACAAAACACAGAACTGTGCATCTTTTCTGATGCCTCTGTAAAAGCAATATCAGCAGTGGCTTACCTGAAAGTTACAAATGAGCATGGTCACAGTGAAGTAGGATTTGTCTTCGGAAAGTCCAAGCTCAGAGCTTAGAGTTATGTGCAGCTGTATTAGCTGTTGAGATTGCAGAACTAGTCATCAAGGAAATTGACCTGAAAGTGAATGCAATAAAATTCTACACAGACAGCAAAGTTGTGTTAGGATACATAAACAATGAGAGAAGAAGATTCTACGTCTATGTGAGTAATCGCGTACAGCGTATTCGACAGTCAACACGTCCAGAGCAGTGGAGTTATGTTCCCTCTGAGTTAAACCCAGCAGATCATGGGTCCCGATCTGTTCCAGCTGCAAAGCTTACAGGCACCACATGGCTGACTGGATCAGCTTTCTTGACCAAGCCGGAAAGTTCAGTGGTCAACACTGAAGATAAGACGACATATGTTCTCGTAGATCCAGATTCTGATGCTGAGATTCATGCCAGCGTAACATCACTCGCCACAAAAGTTACTGAAGACAAGCTGGGTTCAAAGAGATTCGAGCATTTTTCTAATTGGAGCTCACTCACCAAAGCTGTGGCCCGACTCTGTCACATAGCTCAATGCTTCTCTCTCCCATCAGGCAATCACGGCTGTGTTGGCTGGCACATGTGCAAGAAAGGGTTGTCAGTTGCTGACATCACCAAGGCAGAGCATGTCATCATAAAGTGTGTGCAACATGAAAGCTATTCAGAAGAGTTGAAATGCATTAAGTCAAACTGTGACCTCTCCAAAACCAGCACTCTTCATAAACTTCGGCCAGTCATTGACAGTGAAGGCCTGCTGAGAATAGGTGGACGCATCGATCTGGCACAACTTGAAAAGTGTGAAGCCCATCCTATCATTATCCCAAGCCGTAACCACATAGCAACTCTGCTCGTCCGCCACCATCATGAATGTGTGAAACACCAGGGCAGACACTTCACTGAATGTGCAATCCGTGCCAGTGGTCTGTGGATAGTAGGAGGAAAACATCTCATCAGCAGCTGCATTCACATGTGTGTCACATGCAAAAAGCTGCGAGGAAGAATGGAGCAACAACAAATGTCTGATCTACCTGCTGAACGTCTACAAGTAGACCCCCCATTTTCCTATGGGGGACTTGACGTTTTTGGGCCATGGGAATTCATCACACGTTGTACCAGGGCTGGCCAGGCCAGGGACAAAAGGTGGGCAGTTTTGTTTACATGCATGTCCACACGTGCCATTCATATCGAGGTAATCGAAACAATGACCTCCTCAAGCTTCATAAACGCCCTCAGGAGATTTTTCTCTGTCAGAGGCTATGCGAAACAGCTTCGATCAGACTGTGGGACAAATTTTGTTGGAGCATTTAAAGAGCTGAAAATGGATTCACAATGTAATCGTGATTCAAGCATAGAAGACTACCTCCTTCAACAAAAGTGCACCTCGGTTTTCAACCCTCCACACTCCTCTCATATGGGTGGCGCTTGGGAGCGCATGATTGGAGACTCGAGGCGAATTCTAGATTGCATGCTCCTCCAAGTCGGACCTTTAAAACTCACCCATGAAGTGCTAATCACCTTTATGGCAGAGGTCAGTGCCATTGTGAATGCCAGGCCGTTAATTCCTGTATCTACTGACCCAGAGGCTCCCCTCATTCTAACCCCTTCCATGTTGCTGACACAGAAAACAGGCGCATCTCCTTGTCCAGCTAGTGAGTTTTCGAAAGGAGATTTGCTCAAGAACCAGTGGAAAAGGGTTCAAGCCTTGGCAGAGACATTTTGGGCTAGGTGGCGACAAGAATATTTGAGTACGCTACAGCATCGTCAGAAGTGGCAAGCACAGAAACCCAATCTTAAAGATGGAGACATAGTTCTGATGAAGGACAGTCAGACAAAAAGAAATCAGTGGCCAATGGGAGTTGTTGTGAATGCTATTCCCAGTAAAGATGGACTAGTAAGAAAGGTGGAAGTCAAAGTGACAAGAAATCAGACACTCAAGATATTCTCCAGACCCATATCTGAAGTGGTCCTGCTTTTCTCCCAGAAAGACAATCATGGGAACAACGTGTCACACAGTCCACAGCTTGCTGAGGGCAAAGCCATAGGTGGGATGAGTCGCTGAGTGACAGCCCGGTCAACTCACTGTAAGACTGCAGTCCTACATTTAGTACAGTAGCAGTTCTCCTGTACAGACTCGGATGAGAAAGGACTGTGGGTTAATATGTAAATAGTGGCATATGTCTTAATATGCCAGGCGGGGAGTGTATTGTATTCAATGTATTGGTTATTTTATATGTCCTTTAGCAACACCTAGTGGCGATTGTGAATAGCTGCACTCAACAGGAAGTGAGCGAAGTGTAAATAATCAGAGTAACAGAAAGTGATGTTCAAGAAGTGCCGTGTGCCCATGGACTCATTGACTGAGCATCTCAGTGTTCAATCCACATAATCCTGTGCCTTGAAGTCCACAAAATCGGCTTCATCTGTAAGTGTGTTACTATTTACAGTTATAAATAGTATGATTATAACATGTTTATAATCATATTTCTTTGGTTTGTGTTAGTAGCATTTATACTAATGTACTAGCTATTATTAACTACTTACAAAGGCACTTACCTTTTGTATTGTTTGTGCTCTTTTTCAGTTTTACAAAATTGTTACATATTTTCCACCATTAAACCTTGCAAATACAACAACCTGTCTGTTCCTTGGAGGATACGGTGCTGGGAAATATATTGTCAAGCTGGCTGTATAGCTGAAAACTAAGTTTTGCTAAAACAACTTTTAGTGAGGACAGCACAGAGAAAGTAAAAGAACTGAATGAGTTTTAATGAGCACTAACATTCTCTAATGTAAATGTTCTTCTGGGATAATCTGATAATTTTGTTCATTTGATCATTTCTGTTTGAACAGATACAGATATTGCTTTACTTTAAGGCAAATACACAAACCGTTTTTAAAAATGATTTGAAGGCTATGTGTTCTTTGACCCATTAAAGATACAAACAAGATGAAGTTATATTCTTGTGTTCACTTGTCATTAGATTAGAAATTAGAAGTCCTCTGTTGACCCTTATTTTGGAAATTACCATTCGTTAATGGTGCAGTGTGTAGGATTTATCTGACATCGGTCTGACATGATCATCGTCGGTCCCAAATCCCTCACTAAAACCAGTCACAACTTCTCCTCACCATCGACAACTCCACTCTGTCTCCCTCCCCACACATCCGCAACCTCGGAGTCATGTTTGACAGCAACCTCTCCTTTGAACACCACGTCAAACAAATCACCAGAACTGCCTTTTTCCACTTAAAAAACATGGCCCGTCTCCGCCCATCACTCTCCTTATCTGCTGCTGAAACTTTGGTCCACACCTTCATCACCTACAGAATCGACTACTGCAACAGTATTCTTCATGGCACAACATCCAAAATCCTAAATAAACTCCAGTAAAGCCAGAACTCTGCTGCTCGCCTGCTCACCCACTCCCGTGATCACATCACCCCTGTTCTCCAGAATCTCCACTGGCTCCCCATCCAACAACGAATCCAATACAAATCCTTCTCCTCACTCATGAAGCCCTCCATCATCAGGCCCCCTCCTACCTCACCGACCTGCTCCACCACC